ACACACAGAGGGCCACGGGCACAGAGCCTGAGACAGACACACACACACACATACACAGAGCCTGAGACACACGGGCACAGAGCCTGAGACACACACACACACACACACATACACACACAGAGAGGGACACGGGCACAGAGCCCGAGATCACACACACACAAACAGAGGGACACGGGCACAGAGCCCGAGACACACAGACACACACACAGAGGGACACGGGCACAGAGCCTGAGACACACGGGCACAGAGCCTGAGACACACGGGCACACACACACACACAGAGGGCCATGGGCACAGAGCCCGAGATCACACACACACAAACAGAGGGACACTGGCACAGAGCCCGAGATCACACAGACACACACACAGAGGGCCACGGGCACAGAGCCTGAGACACACCGGCACAGAGGGCCACGGGCACAGAGCCTGAGACACACAGACACACACACAGAGGGACACGGGCACAGAGCCCGAGACACACACACACAGAGGGCCACGGGCACAGAGCCTGAGACACACACACACACACACACAGAGGGCCACAGGGACAGACACTGCCACTCCGAGGGACATGAGTATGCATCAGAGCCTGGCACAGAGACCCAGATTAAAGGAGGGCAGGGGCACATGCACTGCTCTCGACTTCCACAGGGGCACCTCAGAGGAGCACGGACAGCGGGGGGGTGGCACACCTGGGGGGGGAGCCCATCGTGGAGGGGGGCGGCGTGGGGTTGCTGCCGGCGTTGTGCCGCCTGCGGATGGCCTGGGTCCTCTTCACGCTGCCCAGGGAATCCTGCTTCCCGGACTCCTCGTGCTCGGCCGCTGAGGGAGGGAAGGCACAGGAGAGCAGGTCACACACACAGGCGCTGGAGCCAGAGAGACCTGGCGCTTGGGGGTCCTGTCTGTGTGGAGTTTGAACGTTCCACCCCCCCCCTGTTCACACGAGTTTCCTCCCACAGCCCAAAGACATGCGGGGAGTTCTTCAGCCTCTGGGAAAACTAGGCCCTGGCGTGATGGAGTGAGCGAGAGAGAACGAGCGCGTGTCTGCCCTGTGATGGACTGGTGTCCCACCCAGGGCGTACCCCGCCTTGCGCCTGTTGCTTGTCAGGATAGGACCCAGCTCCCCCCCGTGACCCTGTGCTGGATCCAGTCCTGCGATGACAACAACCGCTGCGCCAACCCAGAGCAGGGGGGTGAAAAAAATAAAAAATAAGCCAAGTTCCTTGACTCCCAAGCGGAGCTTGAGCGCAGAACCCATTAGGTAGGAGCGCCAAAAACAAAACGCTGTCTACCTGCGAGGCATGACGGGCAAAAACAAAGCTATTTCGCTGGGATCCCTGCACATAAAGAACAACATCTGCCTGGGTGCGTCTTGCGATGGGATGGACTGGCGTCCCACCCATGGCGTACCCTGCCTTCCGCCCACTGATTGCTGGGATAGGCTCCGGCTTCCCCCCTCCTGACCCCGCGCTGGACCAAGGGGAGAAGGACGAAGCACAGGCTAAGAGCGCCGCGTGACCCTTGCTCAGACGCTGAAGCGGCCC